GGTTTCCTTACTGCGTCTTCCCGTGTCACAGTGTAGCTTGCGTTACTGTCGCCTTTTCTCCATTTAAGTGGTTTGTTACCGTTGCGTTTTCCTCGGTATCGTTGTCGTAGTTGGTTCGCCTTTTCCTTCCTGGTGCCTGGCTTTCCTCCTCGTTCCCGGGACCGGCACCCCCTCTGCCCGGTGTCAGCATCCGTCACGCGCACCTTCACTGCAACATCTCCCTCTGGGGCGCAGCCCGCCCCAGGCCTGGCCCCTCGGTCCCCGCGATCGGCTTCCTGTCGTCCTGGGGACCCCCTCTTCTCCAACTCCAGCCTTTCTCCTTCCCCATCGGCTGCTGTGTTTTATTGGGGACCATCCTCCAGCCCTGTCCCGGGACAGGCGACAGGAGAGGTACATTTTTTAAAAAGTCTTCCGTGCTGGGAAATTATTACTCTACGTCCACACTGGGTAGGTGGTTTTATTGCATGGAGAATTCTAGGTAGGAGACGTTTTCCCTCAGAATCGACGTCCCAGAGGTCGGGGAGCGCCCTGTGCGTCCAGCTGCGGCCCATCCCCGGCGTGCACTTGGCGGCAGCGGTGGCTTCCGAGCTCATCCCCGTCCACTGCCGTCGGTGGTCTCCGGAGTTCTAATCCCGTCACACACGCTGTGTCCCCTGCACGCAGCACGCGGCCGGCTCAGCGCCGGGCTTGCGAGGGGTCGTTGTCGTCTGGCCTGGGAGCGTGACGGGGCCTCTCGCCGTGAAGACTCGTGTCCTGCAGTCTAGGGAATTCTCGTCATTTCCGTGGCGTTTTTCCGCTGCGTGTCCTTATTCTCGCCTCTCTCTTCTGTCCCTCTGTCCTTCCCTCTCTCTCATCTGCTGCTGGGCACATTTCCTCAAGTCCCTCTTTCCACCCTTCCTTGAACTTTTATTTCTCCTCTTTTAAAAACACTTAAGAGCCTCTCCTTGTTCTCCAGATGTGCTTTCCATAGTGTCCTTGCCCCCTCCTACGTGCAGCCCCTCAGCCTCCCTGGGCGCCGGCCACGCTGGCTTTGCTCTGCCATTTCGTCCCCGCCCGGCCTGCCTGTCCTCGGAGCTTCTGTCCTGTCTGGTGGCCGAGTCCCTCAAGTGGCAGGTGTGCCTTGGTGGCTGTTCACGTCCAGGACAAGGTACCAGTCACCTCCGTGAAGCCAGAAAAATTATGAAGCGAGCCCATGCGTTTACTCAAAGGGCATTTCGAATAAGAAAGTCTATGTACTTTAACTGAAACATTGAGTTTATAGAATTAAAAAATTCCTATTTCCAAAAAAAATTCAAAAGGCATGAATGAAAAACAGTTACCACTTACTTCTGTGTGTTTATCAAAGTGTAACCTTCTGCCTGAAAAGTGTCAGCTCAGTTGCCACCCATCAAAGAGCTAATGATGTTTTTTAACTGAAAATTAGTGATCTAATTATAATCTCAAAACAAAAACTGAGGTACTAGAAGGCCGCTCGGATGGCTCAGAGGTGTTGGTGCGGGCGGGCCCGGGGGGCACGCGAGTGGCCCCTCCTGTGGGTCTCATCAGTGGCCTCTTTGGGGAGCAGGGAGACCCTCCCCCCTCAGCCTTCGGGGCGATGCTTAGGGTGTAGACTTGCCCTTGGCCTGTTCCCAGAGCACCTGCCCTCCCCAGAAGTCCACAGGCCCTTCCATTTCCTGCAGGGGGCGGGGAGGTCCCATGGTTCTCTCGATGAGCCCAGGGAAGGGGACCAGGGCGGAGAGGGGACCCGAATGCACCCGACAGGGTTCAGCCGCCAGACCTGGCAGCCCACGTTCCCACTAGGATTTCAGAGCCATGAGGGGCCATGTCCCAGGGGGCTGGCATGGGAGGCAGTGACCGGAGGGCGATTTTCCTGCAGCCCCCGGGCGCTCTCGGGGACCTGCTCACGGTCCCCAGCAGAGCCAGCCCGCCAGGCGTCTGAGCCAGTGTCGCCACAGAAAAGGCTCTTCGCCATCTCCAGGGACAGACTTCCGTTGCTGGCCCGGCGGTGGCTTTGGGCCTTTTGTCTGATTTATTTTTCTCAGCTTGAATTCTTATCACCATAGTGAGACCTTGAAACACGTATTCTCATCAGGCTGCCCATTCTCTTCCCACATTCCAAACAAAAGATGTAAACATTGCCAGCTGTGGCTTGGACGTCACAGAAGTCACGTTCTGTACCTGGGCTGTCACGGGGCCAGCAAGGGTTTGTCCCGGCGAGACAGTGGCCCACATCCAGAGCAGCTGGCAGCACAGGCCAGTCTCGAGGAGTCGCCACTCACGACCCGAAACAGAAATCCAGCCTCGAAATCGTTTTCCGTAAAAGGGGGCCGTGGTGACTGACGGTCTGAAGTGCATGTTCAGCTCGTGTCCTTCACTCTGAAGTCAGGGGACAGGTGCCTGTGTCACGTGACATCTAGTGCTGCTTTGCCACACCACGAATTCAGACTTCCCGCACACCTTTGCGTGAGCCCCGTGTCCCAGGAGGGCCCAGAATGTCTTCTCCCCGGAGACACACGAGCGTGTTTACACTTTAAGAATTTTTTTTAGATTTGCTAATTGTTGAGTTTTGCAGTGGAGTAGGATAAAACTTTGGTGTGGGACCCTGTCCATTGTCTCCAGAGCCCACTGCCCCGTCCCCTCCGAGGCCCGGCTCTGAGTTGAGCAGTTTACAGCCCTAAGACACGGCCCGCATGGCGTCCAGGCTGGCCCCCTCCCCTCACGTGGGGCTGCGGTGGTGACCGGGCGGCCGGGTACCAGGCACAGCCCTCGGCCGAGGCCCGCTCGCGGGAACAGCTGAATGGGCTGCATTGAGGAGCGAGCTGCTCTGAGGCTGGAAGGGCCGCGTGCACAGACGCACATCCCCCCAGGCAGCCTGCTGGGCTTGGGGCTCGGGAGGGACCGCTGTCCAGCTGTGCCCGTCCCCGCCGAAGCTTCAGCAGACGGTTTGTCGTGAGAGCCACCCAGCACAGTAGCCAGCTGGCCGAGGCTGCCCGCCTCTGTCCCTCGTGTGGGCCAGCCCTTCCAGCCTGCCATTTCCGTTTGGAATCCTGTGGGGACGGATGGCTTCTCTCCGGGCTTTGCCTTCTGAGGGTTAGATATACGTTTTCTATGGTCTTTTACAAAATGGTGATTGGGGACGGGCAGCACGGCCTCGTGCCTAAGCCCAGGAGTCGCTGTATCCGCTGTCCACCATGAGGGCGCCCGTCAGCCTGCGGGTTAGGAGTCCGCCTGCCACCTGCTTAGGCGCGTGTTCGGCTCCAGGAGGGTGGCGCGTGTCTGGGCGCCAGTCCTCGGCCCCTGATCCAGGGTCAGGCTGGTGCTCAGGTCTGGGAGGGGTGTCACCGTGTTTGGCCAGGAGCAGGTGAGCCATCCGCAGTGCCACCCCGCCTGGCAGAGGCAGCACCGAGCGCCTCCAGGGAAAGCCACCACCTCAGGCTCATCCACCGAGCCACAGCTTCGTGCCACGGACAGTGGCATCTGGTGCCCAAGCGGACGCTTTTGAAAAGCCTGGTTCTGAGCGTGTGACAATGTCACTAGCACAATCCTTTCTCCTCCCCCTCACCCTCCTTACTCTATGAGGTCGGGTTTTATATACTTGGTGCTGAATTAAATTCAGAAAAGGCTGCGTTTGCTGCTGCTTCCTGCCTGACAGGCTCGTTCGCGGTCATCGGGTAAAGTTTCTGCAGCGCACGCCTGTGTCTGCCATGTCCGGGCTCCAGTGGAGAAGGGAATGAGAATCCTCAGGCGAGGGTCCTTAAGGTCCCGTCCGGCTCACACGACGACGCGTGACTGAACTGGGCCACTGCCGTGGCTGAGTTTATCCTCACGCCGATCGCCAGGCTGTTCTCGGTCACAGTAGTTGAAGTTTTTATTCCTTTCTTTCCTCGGTAGTGGTTTCTCTGGCCACCGCGCCCACTGCCCCCCGCGTGCCGCAGACGGTGAGCGGGGAACACATGGAAAGCCCTCCATCCTGGGCTCATGGGAGAAGGAAGGTTCCGGCGTCCAGGGATGAGGACGGGGGTGACGTTTTGAGCTGGAGCTGTGGGGGTGGGGAGATGTCGTCACGTGGACATGGCGGGGGTGTTCGGGCAGGGGAACCGACAGGAGGACGTGGGAGTATGTGGGGCGTGTCCAGGTGGCTCTGGGTGGGGCGCTGGCCTTGGAGGCGCTCGTGCAGGCAGGGCCTCCTGTCCGCACGCTGCAGGGAGGCTGGGTAAGTGGGAGGAGGGTCTTGAGCTTCCCTAGAGGCAGGCGACCGTGGGACTCTGGTCAGCTCTCAGCTGGGGCACTTTTCCTGGGTTTATTACCCACTTTTAGTGCTTTTGTTGGTTTTCTCTGAATATTTTGTAATAGAATAAATTTTTAGAGTCAGTATTTCGATGTGGCTTGATAAGTGTCCTTCGTGTTTCTGAGAGGGAACGGGCCCAGGCCTGCGGCTGGCGGGCTGGCAACGGTGCGGGCCGGGTGCCGCCTGTGCCCGCTGAGCTCCGGGCTCCGGACGGGCGCGGCCTCACAGGAGGAGCCGGAGACGGCTCCAGCCCGAGTTTGGTTGCAGTTTCAACCTGGATTGTCGCTGCAGCACGGATCAGAGCCGGGCAAGCAGAGGCTGTGGCCCCGGAAGCATCTGGAGGGCCGTCCCCACGCCCACGGTGAGGTTTTGTCCCCAGCTGCTGGCCTTCTCAGAATCCACCGTTCCCGGCCTTTGCTCAGGGCGCCACCGTGTGGACGAGGGAGCACTGGACAGCCACTGGCCCTGCCTCCGTGCCACCCGCCTGCCTGTCTGGCCCCAGCGCCCCCTGCCAGCAGTCTCGGTCGGGGACACTGTCACCGTGGGTTTCTGGTTGCACTTGGTTGTCCTTTGTCAAGGGTTGGTGCAGCGTGGTGACATGGTGTGTGGGTGTCTTTCCTCCTGTGTCATCCAGGGGGGTCCTGAAATCCTGCTTCCTACACACAGCCCTGCTCGGGATCGTGAACTCAGGACGTGTCCTCTCTCTCCACAGTGTTCCCAACTCCTGCCCGGCCAGTCCACGCGGAGCTGGGTCCTCTGGCTACCGCTTTGTCCAGAACGTGACCTCGGACCTACAGCTGGCAGCGGAGTTCGCAGCGAAGGCTGCCTCGGAGCAGCAGGCGGACACGTCCGGAGGGGACAGCCCCAAGGTCTCAGCACTCACCCCCGCGCTGGGTGGGGGGCGGGGCTCCAGGGGCCACAGTCGTGCTCTGTGCTCGTTGGCCGACGGAGCGTCGCGCACCGCGGACCGTGTCCCCCGCGTCTGCTCCTTCCATGCCTGCCTGAGAGGCATGCCGGGTTTTTGCCTTACACCTTTGCATCTTAGTTCAGGCCCATCTAAAACTTTTCAAGTAGATTTGTGGAGACGCTGAGAAATTTCAGAGTAAATTGCGGCAAAAACCTAACTTTCCTGCCTGCAAGGCAGAAACGCTCTCTCCATGGGCTGCAGCGGGCACGCGGGCGGAGCAGGCACCGTCCCCGGGGCTGGGCTGGGTAAGACAGCTCCCGACCGTCCCCACCGGAAGGTGGCGGGCAGGGGGGTGGCACTTGGGAGCGGGCCTCACGCTCAGCCCGTGTCGTCTGTCGGCCTCAGGACGAGTCGAAGCCGCCGTACTCCTATGCCCAGCTGATCGTGCAGGCCATCTCCTCCGCCCAGGACAGGCAGCTGACACTAAGCGGCATCTACGCCCACATCACCAAGCATTATCCTTACTACAGGACGGCCGACAAGGGCTGGCAGGTGAGGTCGGCCGACAAGGGCTGGCAGGTGAGGTCGGCCCTGGGGCCTGGCCCAGAGCCGCTTCCTTAGAATGAGAAACCCTTTAAGACACACAGGGAAGAGAATGGGGGTGTCGTCACTGGTGACCTATAGTGTGTCTAAAACGGGCTGCACCCCGGCAGTCCACAGCCACCCCACCTCCATGGTCCGATAGCGTGCCCTGGCTCATGTGTGGGCCCCGCACGTGGTTCACGCCGCCCACGAGCACACACTGTGCCTTTGTTCGTGCAGAACCGCGAGGCCTTGTCCACACTGGGCATACCCGGCCTGCTGTCTGTCTCCATAGCGACTCTTGCCCGTTTGCCAGTGGATTCGGTACAAGTTGGAGCTGGGCACCCTCCCCGGCCCCGGCTGGCTTTTGCCTTGCTTCGTCCATGAAGACTGGTAGTGATGAATTTTGATAGAGAAAACCACCTGTGCCTTTGTCCTGCCCCATTAAGCGGTGACCTGGGCGGCTTGCCGGGGGGCCCTGGCCTCCTGTCACCTTTGGTCTCGCGTGTGTTGGGTCCTGACGTGGGGCGGGTTGGGCTTTGTTTTCTGACTTGCTAACGATTGGTGACGATCTCTGCTTCCCTGCAGAATTCCATCCGACACAACCTCTCCTTGAATCGTTACTTTATTAAAGTCCCTCGGTCCCAAGAGGAGCCCGGGAAGGGGTCCTTTTGGCGAATAGACCCCGCCTCAGAAGCCAAGCTCGTGGAACAGGCCTTCCGGAAGCGGAGGCAGAGGGGCGTCTCCTGCTTCCGCACCCCTTTCGGGCCTCTGTCGTCCAGGTGAGCTGCCGTGCCGGGAGCCAGCTTCCCCAGGTGTCCCCTGATATTTTTGGTGCTACAGCCCTTCACCTGTTTTAGAGAGAGAGAACGTGTCGGGGCCGAGGAGCTTCGGCAGTGAAGTCAGTCAGCTGCTGGCTGCCTCTCTGACCTGGCAGTTCTTAGCAGCTCAGCTACCTGCAGTGGTGGGAATGGCAGCTGAGAACGGCGGGGTAGGGTCGGTGCGGCTGGGGTGACCCTCGTGGCGTCAGGCATTCTGCTGGAGGGACACGGTGCACAGCTGCCCTCCCTGATGGACGGCACGCCGTATCTCAGGAGGGCAGACGGGGGCAGAGCTTGGCCCAGACCTCTCGCTCCACCTGCGTGTGACCAGCACAGTCCAGGGAGGCCCACGCCTCACGTGGCCAGGTAGTCTTGCCAGGGCCACCGATCTCAGGAGAGATCGGGAGATGGGGAGATGCTCTCGGAAATCCCTGCACGTGGAAGGAGACGTTAGCACCTGATGCTCCCCATCCCAAGGCTGCTTCGGGCCAGGTAGTCTTGCCAGGGCCACCGATCTCAGGAAAAAGTGCACGGAGCTGGGGAGATGCTCTCAGAAATCCCTGCACGTGGCAGGAGACGTTAGCACCTGATGCTCCCCGTCCCAAGGCTGCTCCGAACTCGATTACGTGAGCGACTGCTCCAGTAACTCGGAGGTGAACTCCGGTGCAGGCTGTCACCGGGGTTCTCACGTGTGTAATCAGAGGAGAAACCGGAACAGAGTGACTTGTTCATGTCGGTAAGGTGGGACTTCGGAAAAGGGTTTTCGTACCACTTGGCGTGTTTCCGCTGAGCTCGCATTGTCCAGAGCAGTGTATCGCTTAATGGGAACGTGGAGAGAGAATTAATCAAGCTGTCAAGATTCCACGGGCTGCCACGACCTAGCGCCACAAACTTGGCAGCTTAAACAGAAGTTCATCCTTGTACGGTTGTGGAGCTGGAAGTCTGAGGTCGGGCCTGGGCAGGGGGGTCCCTCCGCGCCTGTGAGGGGGTCTGCCCGAGGCCCCTCCCTGCTCCTGGGGGTTCGCTGGCCCTCTCTGAAGTCCCGCGGCTCGTGGACGCGTCACCCCAACCTCTGCCTTCATCCTCACGTCGCGTCCTCTGCGTGCGCATCTCTGGACGAAGGCCCACCCTACCGACCTCATCTAACGTGACCGGCTCTGCGAGGACCCTCTGCTAAACCCCTTCTCCAGAGAAGGCCCCTCGCGAGGCACTGGAAGTCAGGGTCCCAGGACGCCTTTTTGGGGACAGTTCAACCCATAGCAGTCCCCAGGCTACTTTCCACTTGTACATCAGCCCATGGCCAACTAGGGGACATTTCCTGGGGCTTCTTCGTGTGCCCAGCACCCCCAGGAAGCCCTGTATAACGGTGTGCGTAATGGTAGACCCGTCATCAAGGTCACACTGGAAGCTGGGGACCCCTGGTCTTATGCTGCAGGTAGAATTCTCTCAGGGAAGTTGGGGACCCTCTGTCTAGGGGACAGGGTCATAAAAGCTGTGGTGTGGGCTATGTCTTAGACGTGTGTTGGGGGTAGAGAGTGGGGAAGAAACGGGGTTCGTTTGGTAAAGAGGAGCAGGCCAGAGAGGGCCCGACAGGCGTTGGTAACAGTGAGTGCCGCTGCAGACCCAAGGGCAGGAGGGACCCGGTCACTCCGGCCGGAGCACGGGGATCGGCAGGCAGGGACCCCAGGCAGACGAGCGAGCCAAGGGAGGTGGGAGAAGCAGTGGGCCAGACCTCAGGGACAAGGAGGGACGAGAGGGCCGGGCCCCCCCGGAGACCGTGGAGGCGCAGTGAGTGCCCCCAGCCAGCAGGGACCCGGTCGTGGGCACAGAACGAAGGCGGGACCCCAGCTGCGTCTGGAGAGCCCCGGCGTCTGCCTCTGGGACTGCGTTGATCCCGTGCGTGTTCAGGGGACACGGGGACTGCGTGTCCTTGTGTTACGTGTGCTCGCCTGGCAGTTCCCTGAGCAGACAGCCCCAGCGGGCGGGAGCTAGACGGGGACATTGTCATGGGTCACAGTACTGCTGGTCGGCAGATGTCGCTGCGGCTCGTGCGCAGGGGAACGTGCCCCATGCCCCGTGCCCCGTGCCCTGTGCTCTGCACGCAGACCGGTCCTCATGGAGCGTCTGCACCGTCCCGCAGAGCTGAGCTCTGTGACGGGAGACAGAGCCACGTTTCCGGCAGCGAACGCTCCAGATCGTGGCCTTGGCAGAGGCGCAGAGCGCGCAGCCTCCTCCCCTGTGCTGGGCTGCCGTCAGGCTCGTCCGGTGGCCCGTCGGCGCTGGCGAGCCCCCGTGAGGACAGAGACGCGCCGGGGAGCGGGCGAGGGCAGCACGTGGGCTGGGCTGCCCAGGCGTCCCACGTCGTGAAGTCGCCTGTCGTTTATCCGTGTCTGCTCACCACCGTGGTCCCGTCTTCTTGCAGGAGTGCTCCGGCTTCACCCACTCACCCTGGGCTGATGTCCCCTCGGTCTAGTGGCCTGCAGACTCCAGAGTGCCTGTCTCGGGAGGGCTCCCCCATCCCACACGACCCCGACTTTGGGTCGAAGCTGGCGTCTGTCCCCGAGTACCGGTATTCCCAGAGCGCGCCCGGTAAGAGCGGCTTCGCCCTTTGATCCACCGTGGCGGGACCCGGGCTTGGCCGACAGGGCTGCCGGAGCGCCCACCGACCTCGCGCCCCTTCTCCACGCAGGCTCCCCCGTCAGCGCCCAGCCCGTGGTCATGGCCGTGCCTCCCCGACCTCCTAGTCTAGTGGCCAAGCCCGTGGCCTACATGCCAGCCTCCATAGTGACGGCACAGCAGCCCTCCGGCCACGCAATCCACGTCGTGCAGCAGGCCCCCCCGGTCACCATGCTCAGGGTGGTCACCTCCTCCGCCAGCTCCGCCAACGGGTACATCCTCGCCAGCCAGGCCTCGGCAGGGGGCGCCCACGAAGCGGCAGGCACAGCCGTGTTGGACCTCGGCAGCGAGGCAAGAGGTAACGTAGCCACGTGGTCATTCGGCTGAGCGTCCGGGAGATCGAGCCGTTGGCCTGGAGGAGCCTCGGGGGCTGCAGAGCCCAGGTGTTGGGGGCACAGAGCTGATGGCTCCCAGGCTGCCGCCCTCCTCCCCGCTACTCGTTTTTCGGGGAGCGTGTCCTTTTCAGTCAGCACTAGTCCTCCGAAACGTGTTCCTCCTCGTGTACTAGTGCCTTTGGGGGGGGTCCTGAACCTAGAACCTGGAGGGTGAGTCCTCTCAAGCCCCCAGCGAGGAGTCCTTAGAAGTCAATAAAACTTAAAAATAGTTACAGAGTCTTGAATCGGAAAGCCGGATCCCAGGGACTTGGTGGGGTAAATGGTGAAGATGGGGCCGCCCCGTAGCAGGCCGGAGCGCAGCGGCAGCTCCCAGCCTCACGCACCACCGGAGGCTGGTCACAGTGTCACTTCTGATGCCGCCATGTGACAGACGCGTTCTGGTAAAGAGGACTAAGTTATAGCTCCAGACGCAAATTGCTTCATTCCAAATAACGTATTTTCTTTCTCCAATTACATTTGGGTTTGTTAAAGTTTAAGGTATTTACATTTATTACTAAAAACCCTATTAATTGTTTTTTGGTCGTTTCAAAACTTAGCTCGTCAGTGGGATTTCTCTCTTGAGAACCAACGTGTTTTCCTAGCGTCAGTGCTTAAAAGCCACGAGTCGCGTCCCCGTTGACAGCCGTCCTGCCGAGCACGGGTGACAGACGGCCCCGGCCACCATGTTCTGACGCACTTTCCGCCCGCAGGCTTGGAGGAGAAGCCCACCATCGCCTTCGCCACCATCCCCACTGCCAGCAGGGTCATCCAGACGGTGGCCAGCCAGATGGCCCCCGGGGTCCCTGGACACACGGTCACCATCCTGCAGCCGGCCACGCCAGTCACCATCGGGCAGCACCATCTCCCAGTCCGGGCCGTCACTCAGAACGGAAAGCACTCTGTCCCCACGAACAGTTTAGCCAGCAGCGCTTACGGTGAGGCCCTGCCGACCTCCGCACGCTCGTCCTAGTGTGCAGCTCAGTCTGTAGTCGGTGTGGCGGGAGGACACGGCGGGAGGACGCTGCTGCCCGCTGACCAGACCAGCGGCCGGCGCAGTCAGTGTGTGAGCGCCCGCTGCGCCCCCCGCCCTGTGCCAGCGCTAGGGAAGGAGCGAAGTCCCTTCAGCACCGAGCTCACGGCCCGAGGTCCCGGAGGGCGTTGAACAGGAGCTCCGAGCGGGGGTGGGGTGGAGTGGAGCGGGCAGTGGTTTCCGTTTTCAGGCGGGTGGCATTTATTCGTCAGTGACCTGCCTGAGGTGAGGGCGGGAGCCGTTGGGGTCCCTAGAGGATCCACAGGGAGAAGTAAGAGCAAGGAGGGCCTGAAGGGGAGGGACCAGGGACAGCGCCCTCTCGCGCAGAGAGGGGCCAGGGCCAGGGGGCAGTGGCTCACAGGAGTCCAACCACAGAAAGGCCAGCTGAAGTGGGAGCTGGCGCAGGGCTGGCGCCCCAGGGCTGCGGTGGCTTAGCCGGAAGTGCCAGGGAGGCCGGTTCCGCCGTGATTTTCTTAGCTCTGGCGACTTGGGCTGAATCAGAACAAGCCAGGTCCTGACCAGTGTCCCAACGTTAATCTCTCCCCTCGCCCCCAGCCCTCACGAGCCCCCTGCAGCTCCTCGCGGCCCAGGCCAGCTCGTCAACACCGGTGGTGGTCACTCGCGTGTGTGAGGTGGGGCCCGAGGAACCAGCAGCCGCCGGAGCAGCAGGAGCCGGCACCGCCACCCCCGTCAGCACCGCCACCCCGGCCAGCACCGCCACCCCCGTCAGCACCGCCCCTTCCACTGGAGAACCCGAGGTCAAAAGGTCCCGGTTGGAGGAGCCCAGTGGGACTGTGCCCAGCGTGATCACGGCAGCCGGCCCACAGGGGCCGGGGACCGGGGAGTGACGTCGCCCGCGTGGAGGTGGAGTGGGACACACGCCAAAAGGATTCTGGAGCTGACAGCGCTGCTGCCCAGGCCGTGATGCGGAAGCTCCACGCTGACCGAAGCACGGCGCCAAACGGGCAGGGCGGCCTCCGTCCACCCGCACCCGGACACACTTGTCCCCCTTGTCATCTGTGTCCTGCCCCTGCTATAGTCTAAAACAAAAACACATAAACGAGTTCAGACAGCTGATTGTATGATTCTGGGGATTCCTTTGTTTTCATTTCCTTCTTCCTTGGCACTATCTTCTCTCCCTGGCCCTTTGGCACAGGCGTCGGGGGAAGGCTGGCTCAGCGTCTCAAGGAACGGCTCCCGGCCACGAGCAGAAGCAAGGCTCCCAGAGCAGCCTTCGCCCCCGGAGGACTGGACAGCAATGCCGCCTGGCAGACAGGCCTTCTGGGGAAGGGCACGGATCAGCCCGTTTGTAGTCGGCTGGAAACGGGCCAGAGAAAGGCAAGAACTGTCAGGTTTCAGACTGTCCCGTGACATCTCCTCCCCAAAACAGTGACACGGAAAGTACCAGGTTGGCATTAATCGGTGGGGAGAGGTCTGGCTTGGCTTCGGACCCCAGATACTTGTTTCGTTGAAACGTGGAATGCGGCTTCATCGTAGGTCTGAGGCAGACACAGCAGGGAGTGTCTGTTTCGAGCTTTTCATCTGCAAGTGGTGGGGCCAACATCCGTCTGAGGGTCTCCGGGAAAAGCAGACCTGCCTTCCCGTCTGCTAACTGCAGGAGAGGTCGCCAGCTTCCCCCCCTGTCTGTCTCTGCAGACAATGCCACTTTCCCGAGAGACAAGCTCACTGTCCGTCTGAGGGTCTCTGGGACAAGCAGACCTGCCTTCCCGTCTGCTAACTGCAGGAAAGGTCGCCAGCTTCCCGCATGGGTGTTCGAGGCAGAAAGCCACGTGATGACGGGTCAGAGCCAGCGGCCTGCAGTGTCCTCCCTACAGTGCTGGCCGCACCTGCTCTGTGGGGCCTGGAAGTCGGGCAGTTGGGGCTCCGGGAGACGGAGGTCGCCCAGCCAACAGGTGGATGTTCACGGATGCGTTGCTCCAAGAACGAAAGGACGAGCCCTGTGCCCTGTGTCCTGATGCCCCGGCCCACGCGGCACCGAGGACACTGCTGACACCGCTCCACCAAGTCCTCACCACCCAGGCCTGGCTGCTGTGCCAAGGCGGAGCTGTCCCCTCTGGCCCAGCACCGGGGCCCAGCGCCTGCTGACTCTGCCGGTCTTGTCTGACATGGCGAGAGCCAAGGGCAGTGCGCTCCGGGCCGGTGGCACCGGCTTGCCTGAGGAAGGACCCTGTGCCACTGGACACTGTCACCGGAGCAGGAGGCGAGCCTGAGCTGTCCGGTCCACCATCCACTGTGGGTCAGGCCGCCGTCCTGCAGCTTTCTCGGGGAACGTTCTCAGGAAGCATAAGTGTGTCTGTGAAAAGTGACTTTGACCGCCCCGGACGCCTACATTGGTTCTGGTGGGGGGCACCACGAAACGAAACGAAACGGGGCTCGGGAACGGCCTCGGAAACAGCCTGTCCTCGGCATGAGCATCTCACCTGCAGAGCCGCCTGCTCTTCCCTGAGCCCCTGTGGCGGCACCACCCAGACACCCGTAGCTTCTGTGGTCACCGAGAAGCGCAGGCGGGACAGGAGCCAGCGCAGAGGGAAGGGCACGGGGGGCCCGGTTCCGAGGTCGTGCGGGCAGGAGCGGCTCGTGTGCCGGGCGTGACCCCGCTGCAGCGGAGCCCGTCGGAGGGCAGGGTAGGGGCGACCAGCTCCGTCTCTGCGCTGTCCCCACACAGCCGCCGCCGTCAGTCGCTGGGGACAAGTGCAGAGCGTCCTCCAGCCCCTCTCCTCCCGCGCAGACAGGGGAGACACCTGTTCTGTGCTCCTAAGCCCCAAGCCAGCCGTCTCTGTGGCACCAAACTTACCTGGGAGACAAGCTCTCTGTGAAGTCCACACCTGCTGCCTTCGGCGAGGCTTCAGAGGAACGGGGTGAGGACGCAGCCGGCCGGCGTGCCGTCCTCAGACGCAGCGACCCGTCCGTGCTGGGGAAGCGCGCTCCATCCCTCGTTGACATGCTGTGTCATTTCACATAAACTCTCTCCACGCGGCAGCTGGTGTGTGTGTGTTGGCAGCACCGGTGCCTTGGGCTGAGGCAGGTTCCGTGTCTGGGCCTCACCTTTGAGGGTCTGTAACGAGGGGCTCTGGGGTCACCTGCTGCTTACCCTTCAGTCCGGCTGCATGCGGGCTCCTCCTCGGGTAGGTACATTGGCTCGCGGGCCAGCGTGACTGCCACAGGTTTGCCTCTCGGGAAAGTGGCATTGTCTGCAGAGACAGACGGGGCCGTTGGCCACAGCACGTTGTCAGGTGTTTGCCTGACCCAGTTGGTCTGGCTTTGACCTTTTCTCTTCCTGACGTTTGAGGTGTTTTGGTGTTCTGTCCATTTTCAGTGCCGATGCCGCCACATGGGAAGAGGTCCGAGGGGAAGGGCGTGGGGGCGGGGACAGAATGTCAGTCAGTGACATCCTGCCACGTGGGGAGCTTGTGTCTTTTCAGCTCCTGCGGACTGAGGATAGGGGAGGAGGGCTCAGTGTGGACAGCTCAGACTGCAGGCGGGGCAGAGAGAGGCAGGTGGGTCCCCAGACACTGCATTCCTGGACAGGTTTTGGTCATCCGACCGGACAGCCTGCTGGCATGGCCAGCACTGTCCTCGGTCCAGCAGCCAGAGGTCCAGGATGGCGGTGCCCCAAGGAGGTGCACACCTGGTTGCCTCAGCTGACCAAGCGATGGTGTCCCCCGAAACTCGTCGATGGGAGGAGGAGTGCCAGGCCACAAGTGACTGGCGGGCCCTGGCCCTCAGAGTCTGGTGGCCTGTGACCTACCACGGGGCGGGCTGCCCCCAGCCAGGGTCGGGGAGAGCGAGAGCCAGTCCATCATGTCGCTGTGGCCTCGGGGGTCTGAGGACCTGCTCCTCGTCCCATGAAGAGGGGAGTGGCTTCGCGGCCACAGCTGCCGACGCCAAACGCAGAGCGCTCGCTGTGCGTGGGAAGGTGGTCGCAGAGGTAGCTGTCGGGGAGCAGCCAAGCGTCTCCCACCGAGACCGTGGACGCCTGTCCCCGAGGCCCCGCCGCCGGGACGGTGCCAGCATCGCCCGTCACGCAGGGGCCGGGGCTCCGGACCCTGCTGTCGCTCGTGCAGCCCCCGCTCACCGAGCTCTCCCGGGCAGCGCCTTCGAGGGGCTGCCCAGACCCCCCTGCCCCCTCCTCCCGGGCCCCAGGGGTCCCTC